TTATTTTACTTATAAGTAGGGGGTGGCAAAGCGGGTGGCCCATCCCGTTTAAAACCCGTTTAAAAGCGGGGCAGAGCAGACAATTTAAGCGTTCAAGTTTAAAAGTCAAAATTCGTCTCGTTTACTAACGAGTTTGCGTGTTGGCGGATTGACCCGCCAATTTTTTATATATTTTTCATTATGCCAAAAAAGTTATTTGATAGCACTTTTTTGGTTTTTGATATCACTTAAAAGTGCCATTAACCACGTCGCTATTGTAAATATTTTTGTTTAATAGTGTTTTAAAAGCGCTATTAAAGTATCGGTTTTTAATAACATTTTTTTAAAAGCGCTATTAAAGTGTACACTTTGCGCTTGATTTTGATAGCACTTTGAAACAAAGTGCTATTATAAGGCACATGTTGATAGCACTTTTAAAAAAATAACTATTATAGGTCACATGTGTAGCAACTGGATGTTTAATCAAGAGTCGCCACTATTAGTTTTTATCCTAAGGAAGGGAACCTAACAGAAAACCCTAATTCACGGACAGAAATTCTAGGTTTCGGACTCAATTAGACGAAAGGAAGGTGTTAGGAACCTTTCATCCACCGCTCTAGGTTTTAGGTTTGGAATAAACAGGGTTTTAAGTTTTAATTAGCAAGACTCGCCATGATTTTAGATCGCGTGCCTACGTATCCTCTTACGAGGAATCAGAGTCCTAATTCGTAGCTCGTATTTGGTTAGTATTTTTTTATAGGATTGCGTAGAAATTGCTTTCGAATTAACCTTGAACCTTGTTTGGGTTGTAAGTTGAGGTGATTGTAGATGCAGTTCGCAGTTAGATTTTGAGAGTAATTCTATTTAATCCCCCTTTTTCGAAAATAATCTTGAGTTTTTTTTGTTATGTTAGTAGGAAAAAACGTTTGGATTGTTGGTTAGCTATTTTGAGACGTAATGGGTGGGGAGTCTGATATAGTCTCCTCACCATGTATTTTCATCACGTGGCCAGATATTGACCACATGTTGCTTGTCATAAAGGATGCGGAGGAAGTCTGATATAGTCTTCTTCACCACATGGTTAGATATTGGCCACGTGTCGCTCATTAGTGAATTTTAACGCGTTGCGTGGATTTCAATTATTTGATTTAGTAAAATAAACTGGTAAATGATGTGTAGATCGATTTGATTATTCGAAGATAAAGAGTGTTTGAATTAATTATTTAAGAAAGTTGTTTTTACTTATTTAACTATTATCTATGATTTTTTCTATAGAATAACTAAAAGAAAATAAACTAATTAAAAAAACTAGTACGCTAGATTAACCTAAATATCCTAACTAAATTAAACCAACTTAATATAAATATACAAATAACTACCTTTGGATTAAAATAAAAACAAATGGGGTGCAAGGCTTTTATGTGGTGGGTGTGAATTAGTAAAAGGATAGGAATTATGGCCCAAGGCCCAAACCAAATGATTAACCTTACTCTAAGAATGAGAAAAATAATTTTTTTTAAAAAAGAAACAATTGTATGAAAGTGGCAGACTACTTACACAGTAAGAGATTTATTCTCTTTCAAAAAAAAACGGAAAAGATCAATGTTCTTCTTCCTGTCAAAACCCCTTCCTCTCTCTCTTTTTCGACGGTGGCGGAACTGAGATAAGAGGTCAGAGTCGTTACGGATGGTGCACGGCGGATGTGTGCGAAGTTCCCGGAAGAGATTCGGAAGGGACGACGGTTTGAGCGACGGAGAACAGATGGGGGGTTTTGCGGTGAATAGTGAGGAGTTGTGCGCGGAGGTGGCGGAGGAGGACGCGATTGTGGGAGGGGTGTAGCCGGATTCCTTTAAATTGTGGTTGGGCCGAAATGAAGCCTGCGATTCCGGTGCATCGGAGAACAGACGAAGGATGCGTTAACGGTGAGTAATTATGCACCCATTTCTTCTCCTTTCCATTTTCTGCACACAAAAAAGAAAGAGAGAAATTTTTGTACAAATTGTGTTAGCTTTGTTGTTTATTGTTCTTCTTGTTAAAACTGAAATCACATATGCAAAAAAAAACTCAGTAACCGAACAGGGTTGCAACAGAGAGACAATTTATTGAAACAAGACGCGTAATAAGAAATTTGCTAGAGATAAAAAATTTGGAATTAGAGTTTTGAAGTTATGTAAATGAAATCAGAACAGGGACCGCGAGAATGTAAGCAAAATTATCGATGCTTGTTCTTTTTCATTCATGTTTGTTTCATATTCAAATTGTTGCATTAGTTTGTTTGTCTCTGGGAAAAATCGATATGACTGAGTTTTTATGTTGGACAAATTTTGTTTACGGTTATGTGCAGGTTCTATTTGTGACGTGGTGATGTGGAGCTATGGAGTGAAAGATTAACATTGAGTCTGATTGTGTAGTGTACAAGACGCATGTGGATACAAAACGCGTTTCGGATGTGTGCGTAGCTAGTATGTGAATGAAAAAATTTCGTGAATGGAAGACAGTACAAGAATTACAAATGGATTTTTGTAAATTATGTGACTATAATCAGTTGAGGCTAGTGAAAAGGTTATATTGGAGGTTTGTGGATTAGTTTATTTTACTGAGAAAAAAAATGTATGTGAGTGGCTAGTAAGTGAGTCGGAATGAATTTTTAGTGTCAATGTAATATCTGCAGTATATGGATAGGTTAGAAAATATGTACAAAGATGGACTTGAGATTTTGACTATTGAAATAAAAAGGTTTTTTTTAGTGGAAGAGTGTTTGTGAGTGAAAGTGAGACATTAAGAATGGTAGTGAATAAGTGAATGAAAAGGCCTCGATTGTGTTAACGGTAATAGAATTGTTGGCCTTCAAAATTAATAAAAATATAATTTAGAAAAATAAGTTACCATCAGATAAACATCGTAAAATAAGTTATCATCAGATAAACATCATACGATGTTTAAAATAATTAAAAGAAGATAAATAAATTGAAAATTAATAGGAGGGCCCTCATATATAAATTTTTGGCCAAAATAAAATACTATAATAGAAAAAGAAATTGTAAAAAGTGCGTGGTAAATTCGTAGCATTTGTGGATGTTTATGAATGAATTGTGTGTATTGTTCAATTGCAAAATTGTTAATGTTTCTCCTCTCCTCGTTGATAAGTTTTTAAGGGTTATTTATAAGTGAAAAAATTAGGTTAAAAAAAAATATATATATCCAACACCCAAAGGTCAAATTCTCATCTTGGCCAGCAAAATAAAGTCAAAATATCTTATAAAATAAATAAATATGAAAATAATAATTTAATAATAAAAAATATTATTTTCAATGGTTTAGAAAAATATCCAAAGTGGACCAAGTGAGACTCAAACCTATGACCTTCTGTTTGTCAATTTTTTTGACTTACCAATTGTACTATGTTTCTTATTTGAAAGTAAAAAGTCAATTGAAAGTATATGACAGCGAACAATTATTTTCTTTTTCTTTTACAAAAATACAAATAATTATTATATTTTCAAACAGACTTGAAAGCAAAATTTTTATTAAAAAACTCAGAATGTTAATATAATTAAATCAAAGAAATTTTTATATCTGTAACATCTAAATTCGAAAATAAATTTGACGGTAGCACTAAGGCGGACAAATTTGAGACATAATAACATGTTGATAGCATTTTTTTAAAAAGTGCTATTATATGATGTTTCATTAATAGCACTCTCTACAAAACGCTATTGTAGTACTTTTTTTACTGTGTATAAAATCATTCTTTTCATGTGCAAATATCAAAAAGCTACATTCAATTCAATACTAAATAACGTTTTAAGTTACTCATTGCATACATATTATGATCCATCAATACCAAATAATATTTTAAACCAAATTCATTTGTCTACAAATATTATAATATATAGAGAGAGGGCATTTGCATAGTCAAATTTGTACATGCATAAATTTCAACTAAGAGTACTTCAAACCAAATCCCAAACAAACACTCATATTCTCTAAACTAAAGAAAAAAACACCTAAAAAAAATAAGAAAGGACAACAAAACAACACCAAATAGTAACCACTTCACGAACCAAAGCACTGTCGAACCCACAAATACAATCACTTAGCTTGAAAAAATAATTATTTCCTGTTTTCCTGTATTATAAAAGAAATATTGATTATGTATGGTACAATAAAAATCAATTCAAGATATATAGAGTAATCAAACATTCACTACAGCCAAACCAAGAAAAGAAAACAATATGTATGTAAAAATGGATCAATAACAAAACAACACCAAATAATAACCACTTCACAAACCAAAGTAGTGTTGAATCAACAAATACAATCACTTAGCTTGGCAAAATAACTGCTTCTTATTTTTATATATTATAGAAGCAATATTGATTATGTATTATACAATAAAAATCAATTCAAAATATATAAAGTAATCAAACATTCATTACAGCCAAATAAAAAAAAAACAATATAAATATAAAAATGGATCAATATCTATGTGTCTATATAAGAAATTATACATGTATTTAACCAAATGAACAAACGAATTGAATGTAACTTGCACCATCTCTAATTGCAAACTACTTATAATTTAACATATACAGAGATTAAAGTACTCAATATATAAGATGACAAGGGTCATACTCCTAATATTCTAAGAGAATAAGCTGTCTCACAAAACTCTAGCTATTTTACCTCAATCCTCTTTCTCTTTCCATTGCTTTTGGCTTTGTGTTACCAACTATTTTCTTACTAGACGAACCACCTTCATCATTTAATAAAATCTAGAGACTATTATTGTGTTTTAAAGTTTTGAGCTTCTATCGAAATATTTTAAATTATTTTTTAATTTTTAATGTTGTTTATAATTTAAATATAAAAATATTTTTAAATTTGTTTCTTTTATATTAGAACTCAATTATTTTAAACTTTGAAAAGGATTTTGATTTGTTTGAGACGACTCTAAAAAATAATGGAAGAAATATCATCTTGGTGACATGTGCTTCATATATTTTAGTCTAACATAATGATTTTCTCCACTTTCCGAAACAAAAACGAAAAACAAAATTAAAAAAAATAAATTAAAGTTAGTTGCTCAATTTTTATTAGTGTTCAATTTTTATTATTTATCTAAAACTTCTAAAAATTTAAAATCGACCCTGCTTATACGCATTTGAATATAAATATTTGTTAATTTTTTAACTCTAATATAACTTTCTTAATTTTTTTTTAAATATAAACATTTAAAATGACATGATAAATTAGAAATATGAATAAAATTTTTAATATGAATACTTAGATATTCAAAAAATACGAGTATAAATACAAACATTAATATCACACAAGTAAATTCGAATACAATGATTTTTTTAAACCACAAAATACACAGACGAAATCTATAATATACTATCCATATACTTACCCATTAACATCTCTAATCAATCAACATAAAGTAATAACTAATGTTATATTTTAGCATTTGAGGAGTTGGATTTAAGAAGAAAAAAAAAGAACAATTGGATTCCCAAGAATAATTTTTTGCACACCACTATTCAACAACGCACCATGTTTTAATATACTAGTATCGTTTTAAAGTTATTATTTTTTTAGAGCGTTTCTTATCCTTTTTGTTGGATAGCAATTAACAGCAGACTTTTCCATGGCCCAAACGTTATACTGGCTGCTGAATACTAGGTACAATTTTTAATGTATTAATTAGAAATGAACCTGCAAGTATACAATATTGAATCTGCTGCTCTTCTATTCACTGTATATGACATATTCCCCTTACCCAATTATTAATCTGCAGGTAACAGCAGCAAATTCAAAGATAGGATAAACAAAAGACTTTCCAATTATTAATTTTCAATATAATGTCATTGGATATTTTTTAAACTTTAGTATTATGAATAGTACTAGTAGTAGATTATGTACCAACAACATGAAAATGTAAAAAATGGTTGGTATTTAAGTTCTTAAACTATTTTTTGTGGAGTTTAATATTTGCTTTATTAGACTTATAGGAAAAAAATTATTATTATTGAGTGATATCAGTCATTACCGATGTAAAATAAATTTTTTAAAACAACAATAATAACAATATTACTATTATATGCATATAGATATTTTAGATACTGAAAACGAGATAAAAAGTCAAAGAAATGAGATTTTTTCTTCGAAAACACAGTGTGATACGGTGACAGAACCGACTGTTAATACTGATTTGCGTTTTGCGTTTTTTGTTCGCAAAATGTCGCGGTAAGCAAGAGTCGTCACCGACTTTTATTTTATCCAATCATAGAAAAGGAAAAAGAATAGAAAAAACCTTTTTTCGAGATATTCTGAATACGGAGGGGGGGGGGGGGGGGGGGGGGGGGGGGTAGATTATAGAAAGGGAAGGTGTTAGCACCCTTTCTATCCATGGTTTTCCATGGTCTCTTAGATACTTGCTCATCTTTCAAATTGCTTGTGTTTGTGCTTGTTTGCTCTTGAAAATATTTTTTTTCTTCGTGATAATCCTTGTATCAGTCCTTAAGGATGTGACGAAGTTTGTTTTGAAAAATTTGTTTTGAAAGGTGTTTGTGTGAAAAGTTTTTATTGAGCAAGTACTTAAGATTCTACCTACTCGAAAAAAAAGATTGTTTTTCTCGTTTCCTTTAGACAGCGCTATCCCACTATTAAGGAGTAGGTAGCCCCGTCGTTAGATTTTGTAAGGGACATTCGAAAGGGACGAGTACAGTCACTAAAGCAATGGGTTGGAAATCTTAGTAGTAACCCTAGAGTCTTAAGATCTTTCTGAGGCAACATTTCCGAGACAACATTCGAATGAGACAATTTGATCTTTTAGACTGAAGGGCAACCACTAAAATCCCCTATGCTCAATGACTGTTTTACTGAAGGCAACCGAAGTGGAGTAAACCCTAGGAGTGAATATGTGCATATGAATTGTTTCAGTTATTTAATCTTTGCACATTAGGTGATCTACCGTATTAATTTCAAGTAATATTCCCATACAATCATATTAGCATACATCTAGACAGTTAAATATTTGCAGGAATTTAAAGTGCGAAAAATAAACCTAGTTATTACAAGGCTTTGACAATTACATAATTGTCTTTACGGAAAATAAAAATGTGGAAGCTTAAAACCCTAATTAAAACTATTACATCCTCGAAACAGTTACAATAATAATAAAACGAACTAAAATGCGCGCGGAAAATTCAATGTGTGGAGAAATTGAAACCCTAAAAATTTAATTAAAAATATATATATTTGAACTAATTCTTGAGAAAAGACTTAATTAGGTTATGTACAATTAAAACCCTAATTCTAATTATTTTTTAATTGAAATTAACCTAATTTAAACTAAATTAAATAATTCAATAAAGATAAAATATTTTATAAAAAAATTTTTTTATGTATTTTTGTGGTTTTTTATTTGAGAAAAGAAATAATTTAATTACAAAATTTGAAACCTAATTTTTATTTAATTTTAATTATGAAAAAGAAATTAAATTTACCTGACTTACTAATTACATTAAATAAATATTTCATAAAAAAAGCTCTTTTTTGTGATTTGTTGATTTTATGGTGAATTAAAAAAAATTAATTTTTAGTGAAAAATAATTAAACACATTAATTAAAATAAAGGAAATAAAAGAAATAATAAAAAAAAATGAATTAAGAAAGGGCCTGTATGTTGTTAGCAATTGGAGGGTGTGATTCTGAATTTCCAGGCCCAATAGCCCTTCAAGCCCAGTCAACGCATGGTTTCCTGTGGTGTTGACCTGGGGGTGTATCATAGTCTCTCGTTGCGTATGCATTAGATCTGAGACCATGCTTGATCAAATGGCTGGATGTTGGTGATGTATGGTAGACACCTGGATAAGAGCTTCACATGATCTGTTGAGAGAAAATAAAATAAAGGGAAACGTTGGGACCTGGGATCGAACCCAGGTCCTTATGCTTGCCAACAACACGCCTCTGCCAGTTGGACTACGCTGGTTAGTTATCAAAGAAATAAGCATAATGTATAATATATCAAAACAAATTCCAAGAGGCTGAAACAAAAATCACGCGCGTTATTTTCAAATGAGCCAATAGGGTGATGCCAAATCACCTTCTTCTACCTCCAGCCCGTCGTCTTAGGTGTATGACCTATACCTATAGACATTGTCCGTTGTTACAACCTGCATATTTCAAACATCAAAAATATGCATGATAAATGAATTCAAAGACCAGGGTCGATTGATCTTGATGTCACAGACATCCCAGTATCCAGCTCGTGATCTAATTTTACCTGTAGCCAAAAACCCCCAAAATGCATATGGAAACCCTAACAATGGCAAGTACATATATAGGCTTCAAAAATGCAATTAAACTATTCAGTTAGCTTGCAAACACGATAAAGATCACAAATATTCCAATCAAATGTATTAACAATGCAGGAAATTCAATAATCGATTTGAAAAAATAAGCAAACCGTGAGAGTTGTAGTGCGCGATTCCGGACGTTTCAGACCTTGCAAATGCTTGCTACAGGTTCAGTGAGTATCTAGGGAGATGACTTGATCTTTTGAAACGCTTGAAACGGCCAATGGAACAATATTGAATATGCACTTTTCTTTCAAAAATTGAAACTTTGTTCTTCCTGTTCACGCCTGCAAAACCTTGTCTTATGCTTTGTACATGTCCAATATATATCTAGGAATGAATTAGGGGTTGTGAAATTGGATTGAATCTTTGCAATTATGAGAGATTTGATTTGATTTCCATGCTACATGTAAACTTGCTATTTTGAGCCAAATCATCCCTTTCTTGTACCAATTATGCTTGATTCGTTTTGGTCTTGATAACTCAGTATATTTTGATTGCCAACCTGTCCAAAAACCAAATCAAATCATATATTTGCTATTATTCACCAATTATTTGATTTAATTCAATTTTTAATTAATAAAAAATCAAAATAAATTGAAAAATGAAGCAAATAACGTGTGGGTGAATATTTGGGTCGTGGACCATATTATAAGTGAGGTGCAAGCATAAAAAGTTAGGCCCATTTGGCAAAAAAATGTAATTTTGAGCCTATTTGACTTTTGGCAATTTTGCAAAAAAATGTCAACTTTGACAAGGCATATCTCATCCAATTTTAACCCTAGAGAGGTGTTCTTGGACTTTTTAGAAATCTTAGGATGTCCCCTAAGCAACCTTTTTGGTCTCATCTCAATTGAGTTTTCCATGTTCATGTAAGAAGCTTTGACCAAAAAGGTATTTTTTTTACTTTTCAAAAGGACCCATAATGTAGAAATTCATATCTTTTTGTGGGTGCATATTTTGAACTTTTGGGATGAAGATGAATTGTAGGGAATTACCTCCTCTTCAAAATGAGTCTTGGATGGAAAATTTCTGATGAATCATGTGGAAGTTATGCTTGGTCAAACTTTGGTTAACTTTCCTGAGAAACCCTAATTTAGCAACTTTTGGGTTTTGATGAATTTGGAGTATTCCTTGAGGAAGCATGATCAACCCTTAATCAAATGATGAAAGTCACTTCAAAATGTTAATGTTGACCAAAAATCTTGAAGTTAGATTGTATGTGGGCCACAGTTGACTTTTGACTTAATATAGTCGATTCTCAAGCATCTGAGCAGTTGACTGAGCAAACTTCTTGTGCAATTCTTGAAATTTGACATGGAGGAACATATTAGGACCATGGAGAT